TTTAAAAGGTTATAAATTTTATCATCTCTATTTTAAGTAATTCTCGATTCGTAATAAGAGGGGATGAGAAGATGTGTCTAGAGAAAATGAGAAATGGCCTCTAAAAATAGAGGAAGAGGAAGTCAACAACTAAGTGGCACAAGTCTAGGAATTTCCGTTATAATCTCTGGTATGTAGATAAGAAAAGAGGAGAATTAATTTGAATTGCAGGATTATATTTCTCTTCCTTTAGAATCTCAAGTGATCAAAATTAAATACACAGGATATGCATAATGGGGATGATATAACATGAATGAGAATACACTGACTTCAAATTTAATCACTCAAAATCAAAGCTAAAATGTTTTCTTCTATGTTTACTCCATTATTTAGCACTGCGATAGAAAGCATCCAAAGGCTTTATACAACTTTACTGGGGATGTCTACATAAGGTAACTACTATATTATGGAGCAGCCAGTTCCAGTATATACCTTGATTACAGAAGTTTTCTTAGTACTGTGGATAAACAAATGAACGAATCATATTAAGCAAATATGAAAAACTGCCAAATATGAACTACATGTGCTAAAGCATTTATGTGGTCAAATGCCATTTTAAAGAGTATCTCTTTCATGTGTCCAAATTAATGTTTAATGTTGCACAGAAAATTAAAAACACCCATTCTTTTGCCAGTGTTATCCAGTTGTATAAAAAATGATATATCTATATAATGCAGAGTTTAATGAAAAAATCAGAAAAAAATACATTTAAATTTATGAATATAATTTAAAGCTCTAAGTAGAAACATGATCGGATCTGGATATTAATGATTTTATAATGTAGCCACTTTCTGCAAACCCCCTAGGGGTTGCAAACTCATAGGCCAGCAATTGCAAAATATGCAGTAAAAATGAGTGCAGCGGGGATTTAGTCAATGGTCTGAAGAGGACAAGCACTGTTTGCCCAGAGCCAATAGTTGCTGGGCAGAAATTCGAAAGCAGAGTTGCCGGATGTGACATTTAAAGACGAACTAGGAATTTGCAAAGTTGGTTACTACTTTAAATCATTTAGAAAATTTAATTAGGTCACAAAATACAAAACAAAACAACTGTGGGCTAGTTATGGCTCAATGGCTACCGATGACCTAGAGCAGCTACAGAGGGAAAACTGTTAAAAAATGTATGTATGTATTTATTATTTTATTATTATATTTTATTCAATTTAATGGAGAAGAATTTAAAAAAAATTAAAATCTGTATGAAACATTACTGTTTAAATGTAAATATCAATAAAATATTCTAAAATTGTAGATAAACAGCTAACTTGTGAACTTACATACATCTCTATTGCAAAACTCTAATCTGCCTTAAATATTTGCAATTCAACACACTTTCAGGCTTGGCTCTGTGATTTTCTTAACATTCGCAACATTCTGCTGAACAAGTAATTATAATTAAGCCAGAATTATTGATTAGATCTAGTTTTTTCTTCAATAGATCACAAACTTTCTTAACTATACTTTAAAAGGATTCAAGTAAACTAATATTTCTTGTAGTTTTGTTCTCAAGAAAAGAAAAAGCACAAATTCTTATATGAACATTTATTTCATTCCAATAATTTACTGGAACTAATTAATATTTATACTATATACTATACATATAAACTATTAACATTTACTTTTCACAGCTTAATATTCATCAATATATTTTAAGAATCAAAGATGCAGTATTTTCTTTTATTAAAAATTAGCTTTAAGTTTATTTTAGAAAAAGTGTTTATTTGGTCATTTTAATACTAGAACATTTCCATTTGTAAAATTGGCCTATTTCAAAGATTGAACAACAACAATAAAAAAGATCTGCTTAAAAAGAGTAAGTAACTGCATATTTGTTATGTATTTCTATAGTGAAAATTTATATTGACTTCAGCTAAAATATAGATAGGAGTAAAATACTGCATTTTGATTGTAGCTATAAAGTTCATCAATCTTACTGTCTAGTTTTTATTTGAGGATTCTTGGTTATAAGTAGTTACTTGACTACATTTATGAATCTTTAATGTCTGAATGCTGAAGAAATAGGTTGCTGGCTAAATGGTCAACTCGTTACACTCATCTCTATAATTAGAAAATAACCAGTATTTTAGAGGGCGGTGTGGTTAATAAATGATGACCTATCTGCAGTATGCTTGGTTTGGTTATCAATTTGTTATCTGGATTCCTCACATGTGAGTACACAATTTGGATACATTCATTAAAACTGTAGGTTGTTAATACATTTTCAATATAACTTGATTTGTTAGAAGTTTTATAAATGACATGTGTGGATGCCCATTTATCTTGAAATTGTTGATACTAGAATCTAAGATACTATAGGAAGGCTGACTTTTTAGATGGAAAATCAAACATTTACTAATTTTTATGTATGCTGCATATAATAGCAAAACCCAAAGGGAAATGGGTACATTTTAGTTGCGATCACCCAGCTGCTTATATTGACCTAGTTTTTGTTTATGAGGAAAAATGAATTTTGCAATTAGCAGTCCACTAAAGCAAGTATGGAGCCCTAATATTTTCATTAGTTGTAAAGTTATTTTATCAAGGGAAAGTCCCATTGGCATGGCTGTCCCTGTCTCATTCATTGTTAGGCAAGTGGGAAGGAAAGTGGGCTAGAAGCAATGTATTGGTTTGGGCTTTGCATTTTACAAAGGTTAGAAAAACAGGGAAGAGCAGAGTGCGAAATCTTAGATGAGGGGACAACTGATGCACTATAGAAAGAATCTAGGCCATAAGGGCTTTAGTTGATGTTTTAAAAAGTTGTTAGGGAAGTAAGGATGGAGGTCTTGAGAAGAGAAGATACGTCAGCATCAACATCAGAGTGAAAAAAAATTTAGGAAAAGAAATCAGGCATTTTCAGTGACCGGTAGTGCTTTTCACATGTGGCCAAGACCGTTTTTGAAAGCTATCCTTGTGCCAAGAAACAAACAGAATTAAGTTTATCAGGGAAAAAGTGGTGGTTTTAAGACATTTTCCTGGGGTTAAGAGTCAGTATCAACACATCCAAGAAAGGATATATTGGGGGAAATAATCTAGAGTCATTTTGTCAACAGTGATGTTTTCTGGTAAGTATATTAGGTAAGAAATACCTTGTTATGTTCTCCACTTTCATTAAAATATATATATATATATATATATATATATATATATATATATATATATACACACACACACACATATAAAACCAATGGGAAACACTTTGTAATATGATTAATTTTCAAGGGGTCTATTAAAAATAGCACTGGTGTTATAATTTTCTCTAAGAATTCATGGCTGAAAATTGATTTTTTTCCAGGTCAACTAGGATTCCCCAGCGATCCATTTGCTATTTTTTCATAAAAGTACAAATGAAACAAATTTAACATATTGCTCTGAGCATAATTGCAGAATCGTTTAAAGTTGGTGTTGAAAAATGCTTAAATTATCATAAGGAGGTTGTGTTGTCCTGGAGCTTAAGCCAAATCACTAAAATGTCTTGAGAAGACCTCATTCCATATCTAAATACATGCTTTGAATTTTATTGAAATGCCTACTGAATATAAACATATGCATTCATATTAAGAAACTTAATTATCCAGTCACCCTATGCTTAATGTTTTTATTCCTCTGCAAATTTGGTAATAAGAGCAAATAAAAGGCCCAGTCCCATCAATCTTAAATCCCTTTGCACAGTGGCACTCACACTGAAATCAAGGGAATTTAATGGGGTGGGAGGTTAGGCACAGTGCAGGAGAGGAGGGGTGAGGACTTTATCAATGGCTCTAAGAAAGCTCACCTTTCTGAGAGAGTAGATCTCACACTACCCGTTCTCATGAGCAGGCTCTGAACCTCGTGAGTGCCTGTGGTCAGTCCCGACAGGGAGCCATGGTGGCTGAGGGGCAGGTCAATGGACTCAGAGCTTGTATGGAGGCTAGTCATGGACTGGTAGCTCGGAGTGTCCTTGCTGCCTGCAGAGGAACTGCTCAGATTGGCAGCCCACACGAGACCACCTGACGTGAAAGAGTGAACCGATGCTGGGCTGGAAGCCAACGAGTGACTTAAGCTTATAACATCTGTAGTTAAGTCTGAGGGTTTATTGAAGAGAGGGCTGCTGCTGCCACTTAGCCCACCAGCACTGCCCATGCTGCCCGTACCGGACGACGGTGACTCCAGACTGCCTTGTCGCGCTAATGTGGTACTAGGGCTGGGCATTACTGAGGAGGATTTCACACCCTCAGTATTAGGTGCAGAGGCAGATTTGCCACCTGCCTTGGCACCAAACAACCTAAAAGAAAAACAAATAACAACTTCAGTTGTTCCAAGAAACTAATATCCACATTTAATATTTAGGGTTACGGTACACAGAGCCAAGTGTGCTTTGGTGTACTGAGCTACCAAGCACTTCCCGCCTCTATGTTAATTAACTTTATAAGCTTGGACTTCTAAATCAAGTGCTGAAAATCTCTCGCATCACCATAGGGGTAAGTCAGCACTGGGCTGCGACTGGGGAAAAGGGGGAAGTGGGCAAAACAAAAGTAAGTCAAACATGAAAATCTCTGGCTTTCACAATTTAAGTGATTATAGACTCTCACTCAAATCGAATAGTTTGACCATACTTGCTGTTATCTATTTACAGAACCATTATAATGAAACAACTTCTACGCATTCGATAGACAACACTTAAATGGACTTTTTTTCTTTTTTTTTCTTTTTAAACAGTTTATTAAAAATCTAAAAGGAATGCATAAGGCAAGATTTAAAAGTTATGTTGAGTATCTGGTGGCCTGGGGGACTGTCCGGAGCAGGTGCTTGGAAACAATATTGGACATTGTCGGCAACATGTCAGTTTGTGTGCATTTTCCCCAGGAGAGGCCAAAGGGTTTTGTATCAGTTGCCAGTGCTATTCGAATACATATTTGTAACAGTGATTTGAAATATAGCTGGTACTGTTAAATTTTGGAGTTTAGTTCAGAAAACATTTTAGTTTTGTAAATGAAGTAGATGATATAATTAAATTTATGTAAATATGGAATAAAATGATATGAAGTAATGGCATAATGATTACTAATTAAGTTACAATGAAATCCATATTTCCTATAGTGAAATATTTTATGACGAATATGAGAAATTGTTTCATAGGTAATGGGCCACAGGAGGGCACTCTTGGCTTTTACTTAAGCAACAGAAATATTTACTCTCTCTACAAGCCATACTTGATTCTTTCCAATGAGAATCAACGTTTCAAAAAGACATTTCTTTAGGATTAACATTTCCACTGAGGAATATAACCTCTAGGTTTTTCAAGCAATCACGAATCTGAGATTACTTGAATGTAAAAGTACATGTTTCAAGATCTTTTATTTCCAAGATATCAAAGTTCTGGGTTTACTCAACAGAATAAAAACAAATATTAAAAATATTACCAAGTAATGAACTACAAATCATACTCTACCATTTTACAGTTGAGAAAATATACCCACCGATGTTTAGATATTTGTCCCAAATTCTTAACTGTATGTATTTTCCCACCACTTAAAAACACATTAGTATTTAAAAACAGTGATATCTTAGAGCAAAACTTCATATATTTAATACCAAACACAATCCCAGGGCAAGAAATCAAATCATGGTGCTTACCAGAGTCATGTCAAAGAAAACCAAGGAAGAGTAAGAAAACTTAGCCCACTCTTCAGTTGTTATTCTGAACACAACATCCGAATGTTTTCAAATTCTGTCAATCATATTATACCATGATTTTCTTTAATATGTCAAGATATAGTATTGTATAAATCTGCCTGATGTTCCTGTCCAGTCGGTTACAAGGAACACAACTTCATCTACATTCATGATCATCAACTCATTAAGAGCCAGCCAGCAAGATAACAAGCACTGGAAATGGATGCCAATAGCCATAATGACCTATTTCGTTTTGTTTTTAATTGTGGAAAGAGAGATGGAAATGAATGCAAATTTTACAAGCTAATACCTTGCTTCATCACTATATCTAGGTATTGTCATCTGCTTTTAAGTCTCCTATATGGTGTTTGTGTGGCATATACACATACACAATGATAGTGAAACCATGAAGTTTGACCATTTCTCAAAACCAGCATCATTTTTTTACTACATATACGATCAGCTTCTTAGAACTCACTGCACTTTAAAAGATTCTAATATATATGTATCTTAGACTATATATGGGATATATAAATATATGTGTTTATATATAACATGTGTATATAACATACACAATTTGATGTTTTGCAGCATCATTTTACACATCCTTACCTTCGGAATGTAGGTGACGCAATATCTGGATACTTGGATCCTGGCTGTCTGAGCCCTTGTGCACCACAGGCGCTGGCAGAGGTGGGGCTGGATTTGGGGGAACCTGACAAAGAAACACTCTCTGAATCTGAGACTGCTACCTTTTCCTTCTCCTTGTCTGTTTGGTTGACGGTGACAGGACTTGAGCGACCAGACCCAATCTTAGTGGGTTCTCTCAGTTTCGAGGTGGTGGCACCAGCTGACTTGCTGCTGACATTGGAATCGATACTGCTGGTGCTGGATCTGTGGCCGCCGCGGCCGGGAATGCCGCTGGTGCTGGATTTTGAAGGGCGGGGCAAGCTGCGGTACTGCAGGGTGGTCTTCGAGCTAACGTGCAGCACAACATCATCCTGATTCTGCGAACCGTCGAGACTGGTTTTTCTCCCTGCGTTTGACTTCCCGCCGATGGCAGCAGATTTGGGGATTTTGCCCAGTGTTGCTGAACCACTTGTGATGGTCGCCCCACTGCTAGTGATCATAGTAGACGACCCTACTCCACTTGGTTTCTTAAATCCAAAAGAGCTGGTAGCAGTCGATCTTCCAATGCCTGAGGGGGGCTTTTTCCCCTCATCGCCACTGCTTTTTCCTGCATCTGAAGGAGATCTCTGCAGAGACGATCCTTTCAGGGGAGTTTTCCCTTTCTCAGAAGCTTTGGCATCATCAGTTTTCCCTAATTGAGAAATACAGAAACATGTGTGCCTGCATATTTTGATATCATAATAACACTTCTTGAAACAATGTGTAAAATGTGAATGCTTTCTTTATATAACTTCAGTTCCTTCATGTTTATTCTTTTAGATATAAACTCTAATGTATTGAAGAGGACTGACTGCATAGCTGCAAAAATTTAGCTGTCAGAGGAAATGTGATAGAAGATCGAAAAGATAAAATGAAAATACACAGTTTTACTATTTCTTAATGTCTTCTATTTTGCAACTCTCTTCCTTTATAAGGATAGCACTTAGTCCTATCAAGCTAAGTACTAGAAAAGTAATTCATTTGATTATCTGTGGGATGATTATATTTGGAATACCCTGTTACATCAGTACTTCAGGTGCCACAATTTATAATAAGGCACTATTTTAAAAATAGGGGAGTCCTCAAAAAAAAGAAGGGTATAATTTTGCAGAATTCTTTCAGTCTTCTTACATAAAGTCTAATTCACGAACATTTCAAATCTTTAGCATTCCAACTCATTAGATTGGCATTATTGCTTTTTTCACTCACAGTTTATAGCGAAAGTCAGTGGCATTCTCAGCATAAAGATTCCAAACTTTATTTAAAAACTCATAACAAAAGAAACCTGACTTTTAAATTAACAGCCTTATTTTATTTCCACATGACCAACTGGCAAAGTAGTCCCAATCATGAGGGTGTTCTCTAGAGAATGCCCAGATTGTTAATATTTACCTGGGCTTATATGATAAAGTATTTGAAACTTAGATAGAAAAACTATTTAACTATATAAAAAATAATCTGACTTTTTAAAAAAACTATTATTAAATAAAAGTTAAATGGAAACAATAAATTAAAACACTTGAATAACAGCTGCCAAATGACAAGCCTACCAGGAGTCTTGAGTGTACTTGTTCCAGCTTTCTGCCTAGATGGAGCTCCTCCTTGGGCAGACATGCCTCTTCTCCAGGACCCTGTCTGCGAAATGGACAGGGAAGCTTTCTGCCCGGCCTTCTCAGGGTCTTCAGGAAGTCCGGAGGAAACATTCTTCCACTTGCCACCAGCATCCCCATGGCTGTCAAAGTCCTCTTCTGTTTTTTTCAGCTCCTCAGTATTATCCCAGGTCTCATCTGTTGTGGAACGTTTCTCTGAATCTGTCTTCAGCTATAAAGAAAAATATTATGGAAAAACTTTGTGCATAAAAATCAATAAAATGTGAATTAAGACACTGGAGTATACTTTCAGATAACTGGTTAAAATATAACACTAATTTATATTTTCAAAGAATTCTAAAAATTCTCCAACTTTTAATCTGTCTTCACTTAAGTTTTATTAATTTTAGCCACATAATTCTCACTTGCACATATTAGAGAATGTCAGAATAAATATGTGCAGGAAATCCCAATTAAATACTCCAGAAAAGAAGACACGTTCTATGTCAAATGTAACGAGGAAAAGAAAGACAAGATAAAATCTGATTATGCAGTGTCTATTCTTGATTTATCATTCATAAGAGATCCAGTAATTTATTTCAGACATCAATATAAAATTAATTAAGAACTATACAAAATTAGACTTTTAAAATAATTGTTAAATTTTAAACAAATATGTCAGTGTTATAAAAAGAGATATGGCAACACATAGGCCTTTCTGGGTTAGATTATAATCAATAGAAAAAATATATACGTAAGCTGGTTTTGATTATTCAAAATAGGCTGAGTTGCACATAGTTGCACCCCCTGAGGGCTGTAGCTTTAGGAAAGACTATGATAAAGATAGTTCAGGGTCTAGGAGTGGCAAAGGGAGTCCATGTCAGCTCTGCCTTATTCAGTTTATGCAATTATTGTGGATCAAGGGATTTTTCTATACCTTACTAAAATAATTTGGGGGAAGAAGTTGGCAAAGCACTGGAAAAAGGAAGGAGATGATTCTCACCTGAGTGTTCTTCCTGGAAGGGACAGTGATGTTGGAGTAAGAGCTGACTGAGGATGTGGTGTTCAGGTCATCAGTGCTGATGTTATCCAGGGTGTCACTGAGACCACTGCTCACTGAACTGCTGTCATCCCAGCTAAAGGCAAGACATGCAGCAGCAATGAAGCAAACACAGGATGCATAATACAAGTCACCTACATTTTCGTTTAACATTGATCATGTATTAGGAAGACTATCTTTTTTAAAAAATCTTTTGATGAAAAATTATTTACTTTCCATATTGAGAAAATCATATTCATAAGAATTGAGTACCTGCCTGAGAATAACCTTATTTGATGGTTGGAAAGAATCACTGCCTAGAGCAGATCCAGGTTTCAGGGGAATGTTTGTGGAATGAATGAAAACACTGATACAAATATCGCATGGTATAAGGAAAGAATAACATTACAGCTAATTTTTTTTTTTTCTGAAAGAGCCACCAGGAATCATAAAGCATGTAAGAATTCATTCTTTGTTCTAAACATCAAAAGCCTGTGCTTTAGTCTGGAACCAGAAAGTCATTCTTCATTCTTTTTCCTTAGTAACTACTTCCCATCATTCACCAAGAATTGAATATTGAAATCTATTCAATCATAGCATCCCCCCTGCCCTGCTTGCATTTCTGTCCTAGACAATATAAAGCATCTTCCCATCTGGTCTTCTTGCTTTTGATCTTTCCCAATAGATCTGCTAAACCTGGGTCAGTGGTCAAATATTCACATATGGCCACATCCCTGCTTAACACCCTTCACAGACTCCTCCTTTACAAAGCATTAGATTCTAAAATGAAATGCACCTGAGGCACGGGGTGCACAAGGAAATCCATTTGGGATGCAAGAGAAATATCTGAAATTATGAATATAGTAAGGTATCACTTAATGGGAACACATTTTGAGAAATGCATTGTTAAGTGATTTTTTTTTTGTTATGTGAACATGACAGAACATACTTACACAAACCTAGATGGTATAGCCAACTACACACCTTGGCTATCTGGTATAGCCTATTGCTCCTAGGCTGCAAACCTGTACAGCATGTTACTGTACTGAATACAGTAGTCAATTGTGACACAATGGTAAGTATTCATATATCTAAACATATCTAAATATAGAAAAGGTACAGAAAAATATGGCATCTTATAAGACCACAGTCACACAGGCAGTTCATCATTGACCAAAATACCAGTATGCAGTACATGATTGTATATTTGTTTTAAATCTAAAGAACAATAAACGAAATAGGTTATATTAATATTCATGTGCAGGCTAACATGGGCACCTTCATTTAGTCAATGTGTCAGATGATGCAGCAATAATGTAAGATATGCAGGGTAACCTGAAGGAGAATGAGAACTCTACAGTGTGAAGAGGTGTACCACAGTTCTTTCATTTACTGGAGGTTTCTCAGTCTGTTGTGATGTATTACCGCTTACCTATGCTTTCCTAAATGTATCCATGCACACTGGATAAAGATATTATATATGGACAAAAGTTAAGTCTCATAAAATGGACATGTGGCTTAAACTAGTTCACCTAGTTTGGGCTGCTGCTTGTGGCCAGATGCTAGAAGGAGACCCATGGGGCAGGGGAGGAGGGAGAAGAGTGAAAATCACTCCTGACAGCCAGACTGTGAATCTCAGGACCACCCTAGTCCTATGAGCAGACTTTTTGGCTTGGTGGGGCCGCTTTAGTACTTCCCTGGTGGCTTTCCCCATCGGCCTGGGAGCTGACCTTTGACCCCTGCTGAGATAGCATTTGTGTCTGCCTTAATGGATCTTGAACACCGACTCACCTGGCCCAGCCCCACCCAGCCTTGCTCCTCCATCTACCTCTGCTGTGGTGGAAAATAAGGAGTCCCCTGGGAGTACCAGGGCTCCAGCCACCACCTGGGACACCTAAGTGTTTCTCCTGATGTAATAGAGCCACTCACTCACAGGTCTCCAAAAATACCACTGCAGCTGGCTCTTTCCTGCAAGCATCACCTACTGGCAGGAAGGACAACTTATACAGCCTTTGGCAGCATTTACTGATTCAATCATACAGGGTGTGGCTAGCTGTTACTGAAAAACACCATCTACTGACTTAGAGATTGAACTGGGTACCCCAATATAATTCATACTGTTAAGAAGACCACAGGGCTGGGGAGAGAAAGGATTTCAAAGACCTCCATATCCCCTTGTCAAAAAGAGATAGGGAATCTTCCCATGCACATAGTATACTACTGCGACATCCTACAAATAACTAGCAATTCAGAAAACCACCACACTAAGGATATCTATAACCAAGGCATCCATCCAGAACCTAGATCCCCATCAAAGTGCTCATGAACAAACCCCAAAATTCTTAACCAACATATGCTACAGACAAATCCTTAAGATTGGGGGCTGGGGATGGGAAATGTCTGATCTAAACAAAAGAAAATCAAAAAACAAGAAGCAACAGCTGCTCCAGATGAGACGGAATCAGTGTAAGGACACTGGAAGTATGAAAAATCAGAGTGAAAGGACCCACCCCCCACAAAGGAGCACACCAGTTCTCTAGCAATGGATCCCAACAAAAATGAAAATACTGAAGTGACAGATAAAGAATTCCAAATATGGATTGTAAGGAAGCTCAGTGAGATCCAAGAGAAAATGAAAAACCAACTCAAACCAGAAAAATAATTCAGGAAATGAATGAAAAATTTACTAAAGAGATAGATATATTAAAAATAAACAAATGGAACTTCTGGAAATAAAAAAAACTTCATTTAGGGAAATACAGAACAATGGAAAGTTTTAAGAATAGACTAGACCAAGCAGAAGAAAGAATTTCAGAACTTGAAGACAACTCTTATGAATCATAAAGAACAAAGAAGTAAAAAGAAGTAGCAACGTCTACAAGAAACATGGGATTATGTATGATGACTAAATGTAAGAATCATAGGCAGCCCTGAGGTTGAAGAACAGAAAGCAAAGGCCTGGAAAACCTATTTGAGGCAAGAATTGAGGAAAACTTCCCTAGTCTTGCTAGAGATTTAGACATCCAGATACAAGAAGCTCAACACACACCTGGGTGGCTCATTGCAAAAAGGGCATCACCAAGGGATATAAACTGGCTAAAGTCAATGTGAAGGAGCAACGCCTATGAAACATGAGGTGAAAACAGCAAGTAACATGAAAAGAAAAAAACAACAGAAGGGCAGACTTCTCAACAGAAACTTTACAAGCCAGAAAGGAATGAGGTCCTATTTTTAGGACCTTTCCTTAAACAGAATAACTGCCAGCCAAGAATTCTATATCTTACAAAACTAAGTTTCATAAATGAAGGAGAAGTAAAATCTTTCACAGACAAGCAAACAATAAAGGAATTTGTCACCCCACTAAATGTGTCCTATAAGAAATGCTTAAAAGTATTCTATACATGGAATAGATCAATATATATTGGTGTAAACACACACACAAAAGTTAAAACTCACAGCTCTTATAAAACAGTAACACAAGGGAGAGAACAAAGCAACTAGGTAACAACAAAAATGATGACCAGAATGGTATCTTACATATCAATACTAACATTGAAAGTGAATGGTCTTACTGACCCCTGAAAAGATGTAGATTGGCTGAATGGATTAAAAAATACAACCCAAATATATATTGTCTTCAAGAAACCTATTTAACGCACAAAGATTCTCATAGACTCAAAGAGGTGGAAAAAAATATTCCATGCAAATGGAAACTAAAAGCAAGCAGGAGTATTTATTCTCATATCAGATGAAAATGACTTTAAATTAACAATGGTTTAACAAGAAAGACAAAATGGTCATTATATAATGATAAAGGTATCAATTCAATAAGATATGTCATAAATATACATGTACATAACCTAACACAGGACTTTCCAGATTCATAAAGCAAATTCTACTAGATCTAAGGACAGAAATAAATAGTGACATCATAATAGCAAGGGACTTCTACTCTCCACTGACAACTGACAGAACTAGACACATCATTGAGGCAGAAAATCAACAAAGAAACACTGGACTTAAATGGGACTGTAGACCAAACGCACCTAACAGCCATTTACAACAGAGTAAATAAACAACAAAACAGAATGTTAGAAAATATTCACAAACTATACAGCCAACAAAGAGCTAATACCCAGAATCTGCAAAGAACATGAAAAAATCTACAAGAAAACAACAAATAAACCCACTAAAATGTGGGCAAAAACATGAACAGAGATTTTTCTAAAGAAGATATACAAATGGCCAACAAACACATGAGAAAATGGTCAATATCACTATTCATCAGGGAAAAGCAAATGAAAATCATAATGAAATACCATCTTAGCCCTGTCAGAATGGCCAGTATTAAAAAGTAAAAAGACAATAGATGTTAGCATGAATGCAGTGAAAAAGGAACCCATATACACTATTGGTGAGACTGTAAATTAGTATATCTTCTATGGAAAACAGTGTGAAGCTGCCTCTAAGAACTAAAAGTAGACCTACTGTTTTATCTAACAATCCCACTACTAGGTATCTACTCAAAGGAAAAGAAGCCATTATATCAAAAAGACACCTGTACCCAAATGTTTATTGCAACACAATTCACAATTGCAAAGATGTGGAATCAAACTAAGTGCCCATGAATTGACGAGTGGATAAAGAAAATGTGGTATATATTAATATATACCATGGAGTACTACTCAGCCACGAAAATGAATTAAATAATGTCATTTGCAGCCACTTGGATGGAACTGGAAAATATTACCCTAAGCGGTATATCTCAGGAATGGAAAAAGAGGTACCATATGTTCTCACTAATAAGTGGGAGCTAAATGATAGGTACACATGTTCATAAAGTGGTATAAAGGACATTGAAAACTAAGAAGGGGGAGAGTGGGTGAGGAGGGTAAGGGATAAAAACTTACCTATCAGGTACAACATACACTATTCTGGTGACAGGCACTCTAAAAGCTCTGACTTCAGCATTATACAATTCATCCATGTAACAAGAACAATTGTACACCCTAACATTTTCAAATAAAAAATTATTAAAAAAAACACATGGAAGTATAAAATTCACAGGCCTTATAAAATAATTACACAAAGGGGAGA